AGGGTAAAAAATTTATCTGCAAACTAGCTTTTCAAGAATAGCAGGCTTAATCCACATAGCATTTTTAATGGGCTTTTCAGTTAGTTCGAAAATAGTAATTTTTTGTAAGTTGAGCCTTGCTTTCAGTCTTAGTTTAATTTAGAGTTTTCAACAGCAGTTATAGTAACCAGTGTTTTCACATTGCACAAGAGGCCCAGGTCATAGATTTAACGGATTGGCTTGTTGGTTTAAACTAAAAACTGTCAACTTCCTGGTGAGGAGTCCAAAAGCCTCTCACAATTGGGCCTCAGTGAAAATGCTAATGTCACAGCAGGAACTCATCACCAGTGGAGAGAAAAATACATAGAATGACCATGGATGTCCTGACAGACTGTAATATCTTTTTAGTCTAGAGCCAACCAGCTAACACTTGCAGTTTGACTGAACATCAAGAGATCATTTGAAAAGAGTAATTATAATTAATTTATGTCAGTAAATAACTGCTAGCTATGATTATCTACACACACAAATTTACTGATTTGCCACAATGAACAAGCATGTCAGTTATTGTTTCTTTGGGTGTGTTTACCTCTCAAGAATGAGTTGCTTTTGCTTATATTTTATATACACACACACACATTTTTGTAAGGATTAAAAGAACTAATAACTGCAGTATATAGTTACTTGAAAATAATGTTGATTTTCTGCCAATGTAATATTTATAAAGACAGTATTTGATTAAAGAAGTAGGACTTGGCATCCTTCTTCTGTGGAAATTTACCCTGATGCAATAGTGGGCATGGACCTGACAGGTTCACAGACCAAATTAAATGCTCAAATCACATGGTTTATTAAATATACTAACTTCAATGAAGCAAGTTGAAAGAGATGAAGTAAGTTAAGCCATTTAAAATAGAGTGTGAGTGCATTGGAACGACCAGGCTATCTGAATTCATGTTACACAATGTTCAATTGTCCTCCCTCTCTGCCTTCCCAATGTGATTTGGTTACCAGAATGAGAGCTGAGGTTCAATCAGGGGGACCCAGTGGCATTAAGTGCCCTGGGTGAATGACATCTCAACAAATGACAGAGAGACACAGGGACAAATATGTGTGGCAAACAGGTATGGCTGGCCAATTAACTTGTTGGGCAGCCATAGGTCTTATGTGAGTTTACTAGGCATAGAACTATCAAGGCCAACATGGGTGTCAACAATGGGTGTCTAAATTAAGACCCGTGAATAATGAGTGTTTCCTGTTTCATGCATATTTACCATATTCTGATACTCAATGCCTGCCTGTGGGGCCTCATGAATATTTAATGCCTAATGAATAATCTGCACTCTTGGTCCTTCTATCCTTCTCTATGTTTAACCTACATGTGCTCTAATTACTAACTGCTTATCTGTACTTAATGTGACTCGATGTGGGGGTCTGGCATGTCTGCCAGGGGGCTTCCGACCAGCAGAGAGCCTCAGCCCCACTCAAGTGTTCTTAACCTGGAAGAGGGAGTGCGTGGAAGAAAAGATAGATAGAGAGCGGGGTCTGGAGGACTGCCAGGCAATGTGGGAGCAAGAAGTGCCAAGAGAGCAAGTTTATTTGTGCAAACTACAGGTTATATACCTTTCAGTGCTTGAGGAGTGACATACATTCCATTGTATCTTGAAATAAAATCAAGAACAAAAAATCACAAGGAAAGGGGTACAGAAAGGATGACTCTTAATCAAAGGGTGTACAGCAAAGGGACAATAAAGTTTGCAAAAAGGGGGTCATAAATCTAAACGTGTTTTTCTAAAATCAGTTAAGCAAGCAAGTAAGATCATTAACAAGGTATAGCTGGACCTTTCCAAATGTCATTCTAACCTTGCCTATTCATATAGGATCATATGCAAACAATATGATTGAGTTAGCAGAGGTAAACAAAATCATAGAGTTATTGTGCAGAGAAGGAACTAGGAGGCACAAAATGTCTAATCATACAATGTCTCATTAGATCACAAGGCCTGAGCTCAGCCATTCTGTTGCAAATGTCAGAGGCAAAGATTGATGTTTATAAAATCAGTGCAACCAGACTTTCTCCTTTCCCTTAGCTCAACAGCCTCCAGGAGAGGAGAAATGTGTATGGGCTCAAGCTCAAGATGGCGAGGGTCCTGTCAAGGGCCCTTCGCAGGAGCGATCCCCACAACTTGTGAGTTTCTTTTATTTTTTTCTTGCTAGAATTGAATATTCTCAGACAATTAACAAATTCACATTGTAATCTGCTCCACAGCTATTAAACTGAACTGTTTTACAACAACTAATAAGAATTTTCAAAACAGGAAAAAGAGAATGTATGTATGGATATGTTTTCATGTGTGTGTTCAGGTGTAGGTGTGGGTATGTCTGGATGAATAGAAGGCAGATTGACAGACATTACGGATAGATAATAAAGACAGATATTTAGGTTCCTTTTTCACAATTAATTGCATTCACGTGTAATTTTGAGACACTGACTTAAATGTATAACAATTATTTTAGTTTGGAAACATGAGAGTCACAAAGTACATGATTATTAAAGAAAATTTTCTGAGAAATTAACAAATTTAATTAATCAACAAAGTCAACAACAAAAGTATTTCAAAAGCAGTTTTTTAAGAGCTAAATAACCATTGAGTTATTTTATAAAATTAAATATATAATAATGTTAAAACTTTTGTCCTCTTGTCTCTACTTCTACAAATATATTAAATATGAAAATAATATATATCCAGTTTATATTATTCTAAGTGTTAACTACCATTATTACTGGTTAAGATCACCTCATCCTATAGTATTTGTCAACCTTCACATGTTTGATCTGCATAGTATAATGTCTAGAAAGTTCCATGTGTTTTCTAGAATCCAGTGTGTCAATTTGTGTGTATGTTTATGCTGAAACTAAAAGTAAAAACAATTGTTTAAGCTTTCCACTGTGCCCAGATACTACACGGTGATAATGAATTTGCTTGAAAGAAAACAAAAAGGCAGAAAAACTGCCATACTACAGAATGTCAGTGTTAAATTAATCAGAATAATACATGCATGTTGTTTTGTGCTTTAAACAGTAAGGCCACATTTATTTTTAAATGTTGTATGTTTTGTTTGGTTCCTTCTGCAATCAAGATAAATTGGGACCAATTATAGACTTCAAAGAAACGTACATGTGGCCAGGCACAGTGGCTCACATCTTTAATGCCAGCATTTTGGGAGGCTGAGGCAGGTGGATCATGAGGTCAGGAGTTCGAGACCAGCCTGGCCAACATGGTGAAGATCCTTCTCTACTAGAAATACAAAAATTGGCTGGGCATGGTGGGACATTGTGAACCCTAAGTATCTAAGACAGGTCTCAATCAATTTAAGTTTATTTTGCCAAGGTTAAAGACTCACCCAGGACACAATCTGAGGAGGTCCTGATGACAGGTGCCCAATTTTGATTTGCTGAAACTTGAAGTGGGGGGCTTCCAGGTCATAGGTAAATAAAAGACAATACTGTTATTGATGAAGAAGAAAGAATGCACCTAATAAGATGGAAGCAGAAACAAAAGAGATGGTAGAAAAATACAAAAGAGATGGTAGAAAAATTGACTACACTACAGAATAGACTGTATTCAAAGAATACCATTTAAAATTGATGGAAAGTAAAAGTTTAAATAAGAAAAAGGGATTTGAAAGGTCTGCAAAAAGCATTAATACACAAAAACTACCTGAATCGAAAGACACACTTTTCTAAAAACCCCAAGAAATTGGAGGTATATAAACAAAGATAATCAAATAAAAAAAGAAACCCAGTAAATATAAAATAATATAAACAGTAATTACAACATAATATAGCAGAATTGAGATCAAACATGAGAATAATAACCAGTAGGAATGGGTCTATTTAAAGTAAAGGATTTTAAAATTGGCTCATAAAACAAAATCTAACTCTATGCTGCTTTTAACAGACACATTAAAATGCAGTGATTCATATAGCTGGAAAATAAGAAAATGCATAAAGATTTTCCCGACAAATGAAACAAAGAGAAAACAGAATTTGCAGTTCTGATATCAAAGTAGACTTCAACCTAAAGAGCATTAAATGAAACAGAAAAGGTATACTTCATAATGTTAAAAGCCACCTTCCAAAATGCAGATAGCTGTTGAGCCTATTTGTCAAACAAATAATAAATATCTATATTAAACAAAAACTGGGGCGGATGCAATGATAATTAGGAACGTGCTGATAAGAGAAGAAGACACTTCATTCTCACATGAGACAGGCAAGTAAACAAAACTTATTTGGAGTGTAAAATCCTTAAAAGACATAAAGTATATCTTTTTAATATATATAGAACACTACACTGTAAAAATACAGAGTACACCTGCTTTCCAAACACACATGGAACTTTCATGAAAATGGATCATCCATTACCCATTCTTCTTTATACATTGTCCTGTAGCCACATTTTGATTGCTTAAAGCTTATCTTTTAGTAGATACCTTGGAATCAATAGCTGTCTTTATAAATCAATTTTTAATAAAATATCTTCTCCCATTGCATATCAAGACAATGGTTTTGATACACATTAGTACTTTTAACAAATATTCTCAGTTATTTGTACACATATAAAAGACAACAAAATAAGAATAAGAATAATCATTATTTGAAAATATAGTAGCAGTAATATGACAAATATTGTGAGATCAACTGATGCATTGGATCAAAATATCTTTATATATTTTTATGAAAATAATACAGAATTGTAAGATATTTATACAAATTATTCTAATATAACATGTTATGAGGTAGGGGCTTTGTGGTAAAAAAAAATAACTCTGGTTTAAATCTTAGTTGTTTCATAAGAATCCACATTTGAAATGTGATTTCAAAATAAGAGACTCATTTTCTATACTCATAGAAATAAAGTTTCTATCCTGGTCTTTTTCTTAGTACATGGTGTAAATGGCATTGAAGACTGTTGTGATAGTTTTCTAAATATAATGAGCTAAAATTCACCCAAAAGACTATGGTACCAAAGCGGAGTAGTCAGAAATAGAACACTCTATGAAGGTGATAGACTGTGGCATGCAGGGTTCTTCAGTGTGGAAAACAGAGGTAACTTTAGCTAGATTAAGTAGGAGGAATTTATTTCCAGGTATTAGTAACATATCTTTGTAAAGGGTGAAATAAGATTAAACTGGAACTTCTTAGAGATATTCTCAGAATCATTGCATAACTAACCTGAAAAAGCAGCAAGATTTCTACCACTGACATAAGAGGTAAGCTTTACCTTTCCCAAAAAATGGAGTCATCCATTTTCAGATTTATACGGATGTGTCTTTTTATTGACAAAACCTGTCTGTGTCTGTGTCCTGGCAGCAAAGAACTCTTGGAAGTGTGAGTTTGGTAAGTTTATTTGGTAGCTATGTTCATATCAAAACATTTAAATAACTGAAAATGGTTTCTTCTGGAGTTTGAAACATGACGGTGTAGTTTAGCCCGGGATATTGTGTTTTATTGTTGTTGCTTGTTTCCTTTAGGCCCTAAAGTACTCTGTCTTTTAAAGCTGTATATAAGCAATACTTTTGTAAAAATTAAAATTTTTTAAAAATCCATAGAGAGCTACATAATTTTGTTAAAGTGTGAGTTTGCAGTGAGTTTGTGTGAAAGCACATTGAAAATGTAGCATCTCCACACTGCGGAGCATGATCAGAATATAGAAAAGGTAGTCAAAACTTTTGGGACTGTTACAAATAACAGTAGTCAACTGTATAGGGAAACACTATCATTGCTAGTTTAAATTCTGCCCGAGAGCAATGATGCTCCATATTGCAAGGAAAACATCTGTTCATTTTTGATGTGTATAAATCATATGATGAAGGCAATCCAATCAGTTGAATGCCATTACAGTTTTGAATTACACAATTGATTGCTCTGAATTTCTTCAGGCCATGCAATCATTTAATAATTTGACTTCCCAAATAATTTTCCTTGAGCAAAGAATGTTCATGTCAATTTAAGATGGTCCTGTAACTTAAATTATTGATATAAATCAATACCTTGGTACTTTGGTTTACACACTCCAAAGTCTTTCAGTTTCTATTAAGTTCATATAGCATCATTACTCTCATTATGGTCCTGAGAATGCTTCTGGGGTATTAAATCATTAGGAAAATACTATCCTGAGTTATTTCATTAGAAAGTTATTGATCTTGTTTGATGATAAATTGTTACTCCTCTCAAAGTTTGAAAGTCCTACCATCCCGACAAATTAGACTGCTTTCTGCAGTTTTTGTTGTTTGCATCAACATTTTGTCTCGGTGCATTTTTTGCATTGTTTCATTTTTTAAATTTTATCTATATCATTCATATTGAATTTAAAAAATTACAATAGCAAAACATTTATTTTAGAAAGATTTTTGATGTCCTATTGAACAAAAAATTCTATAAAACTCATTATGCTACTTATGCAAACTTCCCTGTGTAGATGTTTGAGTAATTTAAAAATTAATTAAAAGTAAAAATGATTTTTTTTTTTGCAATTTCAGCTTTTATCATAGATTAAGGGGTACTCATGTAGGGTTGTTACATGGATATACCATGTGATGCTGAAGCTTGGGGTTCCAACTATGCCATCATCCAAGCAGTAAACACAGTGCCCAATATGTTGTTCTCAGCCCACACTCCCAGTGTCTGTGTTTTCGTCTTTACATTCATGTGTATTCAATGTTTAGGTCCCACTTTAAGTGAGAACATGTTATATTTGGTTTTCTGTTCTTATATTAGTTTACTTAGGGTAATGGCCTCCAGCTTCATCCATATTACTGCAAAGGGCATGGTGTAACTTTCTTTCTATGGCTATGTATCCCATGGTGTATAACTGTTACAGAAAATATCCCTGTTCTGGACACAGTGTCTGTTATTTAATAAGTGTTCAGTGAACCTCTATGGATAAGTGAAGGAAGAATGGTGAGGTAACTTTTTCCTCTCTGCTCCCCAGTTTTTTTTTTCCTGGTGTTGACATTGCCTTTTACCTTTACCATAATTGTTATTAGCTTAGCCTATTTTCTAGCAAACATATTTTGTATAAGTTGAACTACTAGAGACAGTTGATGCAAATGCAAATTTCAACTTTATGTATCATATTGAGGGAAACTTTCTCATTTAAACCCATAATGAATAAACCCAAAGATTTTTATCAAAAATAATTCAGTTCTGGCCTTAATATTTGAGTCCTTTCATAAGCATGTTATTAAACATTTTCAATCATCCCCTGCATAGTCATTTCATCTTTCTACCATAGTTCACAGTCCAGAAATTGCTGCTATTTATATCTTTCCTTCCCTTTAGAAGCACTACAAACAAAAATATTGTATGAAAATCATAAATAAGAAGGAAGTCATTACCATTGACTTTAACTATAGCAAAAATTTGAGTTTGTTCTCACACACACACACACACACACACACACACACTTATATGCACATACCGAACCCTGAGGATAGTTGGACTAAAGACGTTTCATTTAAGACAATTCCGCTTTCTCCAATGATATGCTAATGAACCAAGTAAGTCGTTCTAAGTCATTGATATCACATCATTCAGCACACAATTTCCAAAAACAAGTTAATGAACCCGTTTTGGAAAATCATTTAGAAGAAAGACAGTGTAACACATACCAATGAAGCCAGTTCATTTGCTTGCTAAAATAGACTCTGTCTTGAGTCCTTTCTAAACTAAAGCTTGACTTTGGCTGTCATCAGAAATAGTAGAAAAATAAAAATGATTTGCATTCCCAGGCTGAAGAAGTTAGCCAAGATTTTGTTTCATTAGGTACCATTATTTCTGATACTTACCAAAAATACTTAAATTGGTATAAGGTAATTAAATTAGTATAAGTAACGGAGCTCACTTTAAGCATGCTCTTTGTAAATTATTGTATTGTATGGATAATTTAAGTAATGATTTTTTGAAAAGTGAGAAAGAAGACATCTGCTTCTCCTATCAGTCAGAGTCCACTTTAGATTTATATAACTTTCCAAATAATTACTGCTTTAAGGTAACTAGAGTAGCACAATACTGTCTCAGTTTTTGGCTATCACTTTTTATCTTGCTCTTATTTTAAAAATAGACAGCAATTTTGGGCTTGATTACCTTAGTAGGACCAATTATTGATTGTATTTTTACTATTTTACTAGATGTCACTTTCACTTTAATCATTAAGCCTGTGCTTAACAAAATTTCATCACCAGAGTGTAATGTTTGGAGCTAAAGAACGTAGATCTATATAGGATATTAAGTAACGTGTCACTTCATTGTATCCCTGTTACTAAGTGACTATAGAATGATTTTTAGAAGTATAACAAATTGTGTACTGTCTGAAGATATGTTTTTATTGATGTTTTGCTTTAGAGATTATATGAATCTTTGGACATTTCTTAGATTGATTTGTTAATATTATTATGCTCAAGTAATTAATGTCACAATTCAACAAGCATTTTATCCAAATTGCATAAATTGATTTCAAGAGATAATTGGAATTCTGTGGCTCCAATTGATATAGTGTTTACTTGAGTGTCTTATTCTATGAATAGAGGTAATTAAATTATGTAGCTCTCTATGGATTTTTTAAAAATTTTTATTTTTATGAAAGTATTGCTTATATGTAGCTTTAGAAGGCAGAGTACTTTAGGGCCTAAAGGAAACAAACAATAAAACACAATATCCTGGGCTAAACTACACAGTCACGTTGCAAACTCCAGAAGAAACCATTTTCAGTTATTTAAATATTTTGATATGAACACAGCTACCAAATAAACTTACCAAATAAGTTTACAATGCTATTTCTTTATTTTACCCTATATAAATGACCTACTGTATTCTGCTATTGAAGGGTTAAATTCCCTTAAATTTCTTGCTGAAAAAAGATGGCTGGAGAGAAGTTTTTGAAATATTGAAAATCAGAAAACAAATCTCAAAACATTCTGTCTTCCTACTTGATTGGTAGGGTGGCTGGATTTAGACTTTTCAATCACAAATACAGTTTTCTTAGATTTTTAAAAGGTATTACTCATTAGACTTTCAGCTTTTTTGCTGCTATGAAGAATTCTGATGTCATTTTCATTCTAGTCCTTCATATACAAAGTTGAATTATTTTACTCTTACTTTGGAATATTTGGAGATTTTTTAAAAATCCATCTTATTTTGCTATCTCACAAATGGTGTGTTCTTTGTGTGTATGTGTGTTTCCTCATTTATTGCTCTGAATATTTGACCCACATTTTAATGTAAAAACCTATTTTCTTTAATTCTGGAATTCTATCTTTATGTAATTATACTCTCCAATTTTCTCTTTATTCCCTTTCTGTAACTTATGTTGGTTGACCTAGCTGTATTATCTAATTATTATTTTTCTCTTATTTTCTAAATGTCTTTTGCTATTTTTAATGTAATGTTTACTCAAATTCATTTAAAAAAGTTTTGATTCAATAATTTTTTTACATTTCCAAATACCTTTTATTATCTTAATCTTTAAAAACAAGCTGTTCTTGTATTAGTGCAGGATATATTTTTTCAAATCCACTAACCATCTATTTTTATTACTATTGATTTATTATCTCTTTGTATTTTACATTTTTGTGTTTTTCCCTTTTATGTTAGAAGTTTTGTTAAGTATATCTTGACGTTTTGTTTACTGAGGTGTCTCCAGTTACTAAAACAGTGCTTGGATCAACGAATATCTGGTGAATGAATAAATGGATGAATATTTGGCAATCTTTCTTATTTCAAAAGGAGATACTGAAAATCTTAACTAATTCCTATGAGCATGAGATGACCCTGTCAACATCTCAGTTTTGCTGTGGAGTGATCAAAAAGAGAGAGAGCTGGGCTACTTGGTTTGATGACCCTCAAACATAATCATCTGTGCACTTTTGTTGGGGGAGCCTGTTCTCAAAAGGGATCTCTAAATCTCTGATTTAATGGGAGTGGGGGTAGGTAATTCTGCCTCCTAGAATCTATAACCCTGAGTGAAGACAATATGGTAAAGGGTCTTACTTCCTATTATTCAGACTTTTACTTTCAGTATTTTTAGGATGGTGACTCAACCCTGATGTGCTGTACAGAATGCCTTTCCCTAAATATAGTATCTCTGGTTCATTTTCTTCAGGGAGTAAAATTCCACTGCCTGTTGGGCTGCAGTGAGGTAGTCTTCACTACAAGTTGGGTGAGAGGGAGATATAGTAATTACACTGCTTATTACTTCCACTTTCCACTAATC